ACCCATGTCCTAAACTATGAATCCATGATTCCCTCTCATCATCATTCTTTGTTACCAAAAGCATGTAGCTAGCAAACACCTTTGTTTTTAGTTCCACTCTCTTTGAAGAAAGATAGGGATACTTTTTTTTACAAAGTATCCCAAACCTATGGACTTCCCAAAGCTACATTCCTGTAACAAAGCAAACTTCTTTCAGTATCCTGTATTCCTAGTTTTAAGCTTCGGTTTGTCTTTGTATAAAATTAATCTACTCCTCTAACCCCAGTGCTCTGGGCTGTAATGCATGCTGCCTCTGTAAATCAGGGAGAGGTCAGAGACAATTGTTTGGAGTTGAAAGCAGTTTGAGATGAGACAGTGGTCTGGATGGTGTACATATTTTCTTTGTCCCACTGGTGCTGCTGTGAGATAGATAGATAGATAGATAGATGATAGATAGATAGATATGAGAACCATACTGAACTAGTTTACCAAAGGCAAAAATAGGATGAGTGTATATACCATGGGCAACAATCTCCCCACCCCCTAGGGGGGAAAGCACCTATTACACTGGTCAACAACAAATTTGTTGTCTGCGTTTTTTCAGCTGATTTAGGACGAATCTGATGCGCTGAATCCAAAAATCACATTGGTTTTGCTCAATCAGGTCAAGTTTTTGAGTTATGGCCACATGTCATTTTTTTACATTTTTGTTCACATGTACGCTTGTGTGGAGCATTTTAGAAGAAGTTGGTGGGGGTAAAATGCCATGTCGAATAATTGTTTTGATTGGAAATTATTGTTTTAATGACAAGAAGTATTCAGGTTCGATAGTTCTGGGTGATTATGTCAAAAAGGGGTCAGTTTGAAGTCATAAAACCTCGAAATCTTCCATAAATTGGTGCGGCAAAGCATAAAGTTGGGGGATCAAAACCCCTGGCTCACTCGAGTACACTGAAGGAGAATGATGAAGGGGTGAAGTATGTGCTGGAGAAAATTGGTTATGATCAGCATAAGTGGTTTATTTGTGTTGACCTGAAGATGGTGAACTTTTTGTTGGGACAACAATCTGGCTTCACCAAGTACCCATGTTTTCTGTGCATGTGGGATAGTAGGGACCGTGCTCAGCATTACACGAAGGAGGACTGGCCTGTGCGGGAGGAATTGGTGCCTTGCAGAAAAAGGAACGTCATCAACGACCCTCTGATGGACAGAGACAGAATACTCTTCCCACCGCTGCACATCAAGCTCGGCTTAATCAAGCAGTTCACCAAGGTTCTGGACAAGGATGGTGACTGCTTCACTTGTGCCAGGCTTTTCCAGGATTGACCATGGAGAAGCTGAAAGCTGGCATCTTTGACGGTCCTCAGATCCGTCAGCTTATCAGAGATCCAGAGTTCGGAAAGTCAATGAACGAAGTGGAACTGGAAGTGTGGAAGGCATTTGTACTGGTAGTGAAGAACTTTCTTGGCAACAATAAGGCCAGAAACTACGCAGAACTTGTCAACAACATGCTGACTGCTTTCAGAAACCTGGGCTGCAACATGAGCGTCAAGATGTACTACCTATTTTCACATATGGACCGGTTTCCTGAGAACCTGGGTTCAATGAGTGACGAGCAGGGGGAGAGATTCCATCAGGACATGAAAGAGATGGAGACCAGGTATCAGGGTCGCTGGGATGCAGTCATGATAGCTGACTACTGTTGGACTCTGAAGGGAGACCTCCCTGCCGCTGAGCATTCCAGGAGTTCCAAGAAACGGAAGTTCAAGCCCTGAAGTTTGAAAAATGGTGAAGCAACATGCAATTTACGTGTACTTACCTTTATCAATGCCCACCATTCAGTTTACAGTAATCGATGTTTCTATCAGGTAATCAATATATGTTGTTGCAAAAACATTTTTTTCTTAAAAACATATTTAGGATGATATGTGTTGACAAAAATCAGCTGACAATGCCACAAAAATGTAATCGATTTTGTCACAAGATCTGATTTTTTCAAATCAACATAGCACAAAAACCTGACCTGATGGAGCGAAACGGATGCCATTTCCTGATTCAGCAGTGCAAAAATACCCTAAATAAGTTGTAGAAATCTAGACAACATTCAAAAAGTAAAAAATTGTTGCCCAGTGTTATCTGCCTCCAGCCTTTGTTAAATAACAGCTCCACAAACAGACCAAAGACTTGGAGACAATCTTGCTTAGCAGCTTTCCCCTTTTCTTTTCTTTTCTTTTTTGCATGTTCAGTACTACGCAGGAAAGCTATTAAACACTTCAAGAAGAAAGCAATATTTATTATGAGTTACTGTATTTGTACAGCACATCCAGCCAGGACCTCCAGCAGCAAAAGTTCAGAAACATTTTCATAACAACTACCATGCTTATTTTTAGTATCCTCTTGGATGCTTTCTGATTAAAGAACTGCAGTGAAATTATCCAGACACTCTGGTAGGCGTGCCTTTCTGTGATGGGCACCAAGGAAAGCATACGCACACAGAAACATTTTGAAACAAGAACTTAAGAATTCAAATGTAGTTCAAAATAACTTCAAAAATACAAAACTACAGAAAATTTAACTAATCCAGCTATGGTGGTGCTTTTTGTAATTGTTTTATTGTAGGGATGTTATTGTATTTTACCATGTTGTTCTCCCTTAATACTGGCTGTATAGAAACTTCTGAAATAAATAAATAAATAAATAAATGCACAAGATAACTTGGCTGTTATGGGGTGTGTAGCCAGGCTAATGCTCTCTACTGACGCACACACAAGTTCCTATCTTTGTACTCTGAATTGCTGTGGGCTAATAACTGCTCTCTAGTTCCATGCTGGAAATCAATGATCACTCCGATTCTGAGTCGAATGCTTTTAAAAGGTGGGTGACTAAAACAGGTGTTATGATATCAAGGACATGCGAAGGGCAGAGTCACATAGGAGGTCGTTGTCCTCCTGGACTAGTAGGTTAGCACACAATTTAGAAATGCATTAAAAATATGGCAGTGTTCCCACAACTTTCCACAGCACAGATTCTACCAACTAGACCACAGGCTAGCTTGTGTGCAGACCAGAAAGCATCAGAAACCCACTCCAAAAAAAAGATTCGTGCTCATGCCTTAAATAGCCGACCACGCAGCCTTAAGGCTGCAATCCTAAACACATGCGCTGGATAACAAATCCCACAGAACATTGTGGGGCTTCTGATTAAACACGAATAGGGTTCCCCTACAAGTTCGAGAAGGAAGAATTCATTTGATTAGAACGGGCGCCGCCTAGTCAAGCAAAACTCTCGCAGCTGAAGTGATTACCAAGCATCAAGCAAATACACCAAGGCTGGGAATCAATCCCAGGAAAGTAAACCTGTTGTCTTCTTCAGCGGGTCTACGCAGGAGCAAACAAGAGGCGGGAGAGTAGAGTTTTCACACCCCGCCACCTTCCAGAAAGAAACCATTTTTTTAAATAAAAAAACCCCCCAAAAGCCGAGCTTTGCAGTGTTAAAGCAACTTGGGGAGAGGGCGGCGGCTTCGAGTTTCGTAGCTCACCTCCAACCTAAAGTTCTGAAGGCGTCTTCGGGTGCCACCCGAATCAGTTCAGCCACTAGAGCCGATGGTCTTAGATGGGCTGCAGCCCATTAATTTCAGCGGGTCTACCCCGAGAACGTGCTGGTGGGACAAGCCTCACGAATTCAAGGGAAGACACGCGCGCTCGCCCCTCGAAAAGCCCTCAGGAAGGATGCCTCCCTCCTCCTCCGCCTAGTCCTACTTACCTCGGGGTAAGCCAGCAGCGCTTCCTTCCGAGGAGACCCGCGCAGGGCTAAGCCGAGCCGTCCGCCTCCGAGGGCGGCCGCCGAGCTGCTGTTCTGTGTGCTGACAAGAACAACTCAGCCCCTCTGGAATGGGCTTCCTCCTCCCCTCGAGAGCTAGCCCTCGCTTTCCACCAGAGGGGAAGCGGCTTTCTCCGCCCCGCGGGCTCTTCTTCCACGCACAGTCTCTCCCCCGGCGGGCTCGTACAATTCCCAAACAAACGCAGCCCCGCCTCGCGCCGCTCAGAGACCCAGCAGCAGCAGCAGGCGGCCTCCCCGCGGCAAGAAGGCCAATAGGAAAACGCCGAGGGAGCCGAGTTGCTCGCGCCACGGAGGTCGCTCGGAAAGTGGCCGGCGCGCGCGCGGAGGACGGCTGCTTGGGCGCGGGCTCCTCCTGGACTCTGCTCCTCACAGCCGACAAACAGCAACACACGAGCAACTCCTCCTCCTCCAGCTCCGCCCCTGCCGGGCGGCTGCCACCTAACACTCCTCGATGTCTTGCGCGGGAGAGCGAATATCAGGGCAGAAGCTGCCTGGCTGTGGCGGCGGGGCAGTCCGGGCAGGAGGAGGACAGGCCTGGTTTTCCATCCTAGAAGGGGGGGGGGCAGGCAGGGTCCACATGATTTCTTGTTCCTTCCTCAAGAGCTGCGCTCTGAAATGTGTATCTGAGGTAGTTTGTTTACAGAGGCCCGCCGACACCTATTGAACACACATTGCTATCGAAAGGGCCTTGAGACAATTAAAGGCTGGCCTAAGGTATATGGCTGCCTGAGGGACCTGGGAAGCTGCCTTATAGTAGGGCTACCAGACATCCCCGGTGACAGTCCCCAGATTTGCAAATCTGTCCCCAGACAAATTCCGTCCCCGGAATGTCCCCAGATTTGCACAACTGTCCCAGGGAAACGTGGCAGTGGCATCCTCAGCAGCCCAGAGCCAGCCTGGGAGTGCAGTTGGCTCTGGCTGGCTCCGGGCTGCTGACTGCCACTGCCGCCGCCACTGCCAAAGGGGAACCGGGGACGTCCGGCGGTACAGATCTCCTGTCCCCTTCCCCCTTTGATTTGACTGACGGGGGAAGCTTGGGAGTTGCGGTCGGGCGGGCAGCCATTGCCCTGGATAGGTGCAAGGTGCATGGTTTCTCTGCCGGGCAAGGTGCAAAGCCCTTCTTTCGCACCCTGTGAAACATAAATGCGCAGAGTTTTTTAAAAACTGGGCAACGGTGTGCCGCCCACCCGTGACTCTCAAGCCTCCCCCAATCTCCTGCCCCCTTCCCTTTGACAGATCGGGGGAGGCTCGGGAGCCACGGGCAGGCACCATTGCTCAGTTTTTTAAAAACTCTGCACATTTATGTTTCACAGGGTGCAAAAGAAGGGCTTTGCACCTTTATGCAATATGCATGTGTGCTTGGGCCCAGGGTCTTTTGCCTCACCATCCCCACTACTGACTCCCTGTTGCTATTCAGCTTCAAAAAAAAAAGTGTCCCCGGATTCATTGAAAAAAATCTGGTAACCATACCTTATAGCCCCATCTCAGTGGTCGGTCTAGCTCAGTACTGTCCACACAGACTGGCAGTGGCTTTCCAGGATTTCAAAGAGGGGGCTGGAGATGCTGAGGGCCATGAGTGTAGCCAAAGGGGGGCAGCTGCCCCCCCCCCAAATCAGTACAAATCAATACAAATCTGAGGTTCTGGCCTCCCCAACAAAAATCCTGGTTATGCCCTTGCCCAGGGCACTCCAAGATGTTTTGGCACCAGAGGCAAACTGCAAAATGATGCCCTCCCCTCACAACCAGGAAAGAAGGGGTGAGTGAAAATCTACATCAGGAACAAGGGGAGGGAGGCATAAAGATCTAGAGCAGGATCTGCTACCCCTATGGATCCTGCCACCTGAGGCAGTCACCTCACCTCACCTCCTGGTTGGACTGGCCCTGTCCTGACCCTCATTACATGTATGGAAGCCAGCTGAACTGGCATTTGGATTTTCTTTCAGTGCTGGCCGTGGAACAGTTTTCTCCATCACACTCAACGGCAACAGGCTACTTATGTGGGTGCATAACGTCCTTCTTAACTTTCATTATTTCATTGCAATAAGGGGGTCATCTGCACACCCTCCAACATTTCTCTGATGAAAACAGGGACATCCCATCCCATCATTATAATTTTACTATTTATACCCATCACATCTTACAGGGTTGCCCCAGCCACTCTGGGCTGCTTCCAACATCTATGAAAACATAATAAAATAGTAAACATTTTTTTTTAAACTTCCCTATACAGGATTACTTTCAGATGGCTTTTCTCCAATGAAAATAGGGACATCCTAAGGCCCGGGGTCAAATCAGAAACCGGGACAGCTTCTCTAAATCAGGGATATCCCTGGAAAATAGGGACACTTGGAGGGTCTGCATCTGTAATCTCTGGATCTTGACATTTCTAACCATGTTCTACCAAAAAAAACCCCAATACATTTTGTACTCAATGGTACTTACTTCTGAGTGTAAATGTTTAGAATTGTGCTGTTGGATTCTGTCCACCTTGTTAAACGTCCGCCCTGAATGATTTAGCTGCAGTGCTTAAGTTCCACAAGCAAAATGAGTGATTTGTACCATTACACTTTTTTTTTTTTTTTTAAAGCATTGACAGCTTGTTCCACCCTGTTTCCTAGGAAACTTTCCTGCCTCTCAATGACAGCAGGTTGGCTCTTCAGCGCTTTTAGGCTAATACGGTGAATGTCTCACAAGGTGCTGGGAGGAAACAATACAAATGAGACAAAATAGATACAGTGGGACCTCTGGTTACGTACTTAATTCGTTCCGGAGGTCCGTTCTTAACCTGAAACTGTTCTTAACCTGAAGCACCACTTTAGCTATTGGGGCCTCCCGCTGCTACCGTGCGATTTCTGTTCTCATCCTGAAGCAAAGTTCTTAGCCTGAGGTAATATTTCTGGGTTAGCGGAGTCTGTAACCTGAAGCGTATGTAACCCGAGGTACCACTGTACTAGCTTGGCACATCCACACATTTACCCTACACATCTGTGTAGAATGTTAGTGAGACTGGAGAGACCTTTGGGAGGCTGCCTGCCACATTTGGTTAGTAGATTGGATTTGACTTGCTGCCAGTAGTGCATTCAGGGCAGGACTTGGGGGCAGGTGTCCAAGAGTCCACTCAAGAAAATAAGCACAAGGGCCCTCAATTCCAGTAGAGCTGGCTTACCACGTTCTGAAGTGAAGTAATAATCAATGCTGTCTAAAGAATGCACCGCTACTTCCTGCATCACAAACACTGCAAAACTGCCCTGAGGACTGTTCCAAACATTTTACATACGTGTGTGAAGGGGAGGGGAGGCCCCTGCACTATCATACATAATTACAGCATATGTCTTTCTTTTTTCTGTTCTTTGTCTGAATGCATATGAACTGAAAATCTGTGGCCAAATGCAGCTTCCTCCCCAACATATGTACACGTGACAGGTGGAATTTTCACAGAACATGGAACACATGTTTTACTGACTTACAGTCATACGTACCCCGAAAGGTAAAGTGGCACGTGTGAAATGCAACTGCTCTATTAGAAAGAGGGAATCCAGCTAAATTGGATGTCGAAGGGTCAAGAAAAAAATGAAGAACCTGTGACATGAGGCAGAACATAATGCACCAACATATACAAACACAGTCTATAGAGGGCAACTGTACAAAGGAAGCTAATTTTGAGAACAGAAATTAAGTGAAATAAGCTCTGTTTCCTATGCTGATTTAATTTCTCTGGGAGACTCCCTTAAATCAGGCTTTGTCAGAACTCCCAGTGGGTATAGTTCACAATGACGGTGGCTATATTAAAATCATTGTGAGGAAAATGGATAAGAACAATGGCTAGGTTGCTAGGAGGTAGCCAGTTGGAGGGATGAAGGGGGCCTGATACTCTTTGGGAGAGAAAGGAGAATTGTCTGGAAATACCCAAATGGCTGTTCTGTTTTGTGTGCTGAAGTTTGGGCAAAACAGAAACCCCACTGCTGGATTAGATTAATGTGTCTTTCCTCCCTCTATGACATAATCCCAAATGTATGTTTTGCTATTCCGCTATACCACTCCCGCCACTGTGTTGTGTTGAGGGTAAGCCTGTCTCTCCATTGGAATATCTTGGTTTTCAACATAACCACTAAGTGATCTAATTTCAGTTGAGCTTTTATATTTTAAAAATTATTTCTGGCTGTCCGTCTGGGCAAAATTCTTCATCTCTTCTTTCACTGTGTTGTGTGTGTGTTTGAGCTTACCACTAAATTGGTGTTTTCACATTCTTAGAAAATTACTTTTTTATGCTAGCAAGACAACAGAAAAGGAACCCCCCCCATCTTTTACATTACAAGCAAACCAGATGTGTGGATAGAGTCATTATATAGTTAATCACCACCAGAGCCCTGTTCAGGCATCTGCATGAACATGAGAGGGCTTAAAGCCTGGGGAGGGGGAAGGAGAGGGTGTGTCTGCAGGGTTCACAATTGTGTGGCGGCTTCTAAGTATGTAGAAGACCCCTTCAGACATTTGGGCTGAATGTGCAAAGGTTTGATGAGGAACCCATGCATGCAGAGACATTGTGGCAGGGATTGTGTGCTCATTCCACTCTGCCCCTCCCCCAATTGTAAGTCACTTTCAGACTGTTGCTATTCTTCAGTGCATTCAGTCACATTGGAAAGTTCAGGTTGCACAATTAAGATTGATTGTGCCTTGTGCCACACACTTGCGTCCCCAAAAGAAAGGACTTTTTTTTTTCATGAGGAAAGTGAACAAACTGCAAACTGTGGATTTGATGCTGATGAAGAAGAACTTGTTGTTATGCAAAGGACTTAACCCTTCACAAAGCACTAGAGCAGGCAAGGCAATCTAAGTAAAGTCCAGAAGAGGGATAAATGATCTGGAAATGGTGACCTCTAGTTCACAAAACAGTAGAAGCAATTGCAGCATCCCTTTTGAAAATGGCAAATTGACTCTCCAAAAGCAGAAAAAGGAAAGTCCAGAAAAGGCAGTCCAGCCATTACAAAAAACCCAGCAACAACAATAGGCACCCTTTTAGAAAGCATACCTTGCTTAGCCAAAGGAGCATAGTGTGGGAAATGTTCCAAAGTAGGCCAGTTTGCCATTCAATGCATACCCAGTCAGATGGTGCAAAAAGCGATAGCAGCTGTAAAGGGCAAGTTTTATAATCTGGAAAGACACCAACCCTCACAGAAGAATAAGCTACTGGTGGGACAACCATTAATTTCAGAATAGATTCTGGATCTGATGCCCCCGTTATTTCAGAGAAGATTTCCAAGACTTTCAGAGAAGACTTACCCCACCTGTATAAGATTCGACAACTAGCACTCACTATCCTCAAGCAAACTGGGAAGCAGAGAAAACAACACACATTGCAAATAGAACAACCTGCTTATTGATCATTTAAGTTTATGGGTAGCCCAGTGGAATTGCTAAAGGGAATTCTGTCCTGTTGTGGTGAGCCCTGGGAAAAAGTTGCTGTTTCAGACTGAAAGAAGTTATAAGCATTTCCATAACCTGTGTGAGGATAAAAAAAATCATGGCAGACTCCAGGTACCATATGGAATGGGGGAGGAGGGATGGAACGAAACACACAGATCAGATTCTGTTGATTCTGGACATTGAATGCTTAACAGGAGCTAACAAGACCTTCCTCTTATTGGAAAATATACAAATGCAAAAGGACTACCCGAAAATGGAACTTCATCTACTGAGACATTTCTCACACTCCATGGGGCGACCAAGAACAATATAACGTGTTTATATTTATCTCTACCCTGCATAACTTGTGACCTGCCAGGGTTAGGGAGCAAGACTTACCATAAGTGTAAACCTTCAGCAATGTCACTATAACTACATCCAGTACATTTTGGGGTAAAGATAAAAGAGGTGCTAGTACTCATACATTGATAAAAGTGCCATGGGTGTCAGCCCCAAATGTCAGCCATGGGCAGCAAAGAGAGAGAGAGAGAAAGAGAAAGAGAAAGAGAAAGAGAAAGAGAAAGAGAGGGAGATGCTGGTACTCCATGCCATTGAGGACTGTTACAAAAAAGAAAAAAAAGAGGGGGAAAAGCCTTGGCTATATTCATGAATTGTTCAGTTCATATTGCATAAAATTAGCAAGGATGCCTAGGCTTACCATTCCCACCCCAATCTGGATCCTGTGTCTGGCAGGTAGAATTTCAGTAGCTGAATATTTACCTGGTGTGGAAATACTATGTAAATATCAACAGCACTAAAGTTCTTCCAGAAAACACTAGCAACCCCACATCCACTGCCAGTACC